GTGCATAGGGTCGCTATGAGTCGGAAACGACTGGATGGCACATAACAACAACAACAATAGATATGCAGAGCTCTTGTTGTAAGGAATTGCACTGCCAACCCAAAGACAGCCAGATTGAACCCATCAACCACTTTGAGAAAAAAAGGTGGGAAACAGCCTCCTGCTCTATTTACAGCTTGGAAAACCCTCTTAAATGTCAGCTATGATTCAGCTCCAACTCAAAGATCAATAACAACAATCTGCTACATTAATTACCTAGTCTACCAACAGGAAATAAGGAGACAGATTGCACTAGGAAAATTTGCAGTTAGGGACTTCTCCAAATTATTGAGGAGTAATAATGCAAGTTTCAGTACTAAGGTGCGTCTGATTCAGGTCACACTCTCTGATCACTTGTGATGCATCTGAGAGCTGGACAATAAATAAGGATGACAGAAGAAGAATTAACACCTTTGAACTGTGGTGTTGGAAAGCACTAAACATTCCATGGAAGGTCAAGAGAACAAATAGATATGTCTTGGACGGTGCAGACAAAGTGCTCTTTGGAAGCAAGAATGATGAAGCTTCATCACATTTACTTTGGGCATGTTGCTAAGAGGGACTATTCCTTTGAGAGGGACATGATTCTGGGAAGGGTGGAGGGTCAGCAAAGGAGAGGAAGACTCTCAACCAGGTGGACTGACATGGTAACTGCAGTAATGGGCTCATGTGTGTTAGGAAGTGTGAAGATGGCACAGGATAGAACAGGGTTCAGCTCTTTAGTTCATAAGATTGCTATGAGTTATACTTGATTGGTACCCACCAACAACAGTTCATGAATATTTTAATTATTTTCTCTTTCCTTTTTTTTTTTCCTTATCACAAGTAGCTTTAAGTCCCATGGGCCAAATCTGGTCCAAAGCTCTAATTATATGGTTTGTTGGTTAAGAATAATTTTCTCATTTTAAAATGACTTTAAAAAAAAAACAAACCTCCAAAATCTACTATTTTTCTTTTGATTCCCAAATTAACTGTTTTTAAAATTTGTCTCTTACTAAATGTTTAGTATAGAGGGACATCATGCATGCTTGGGAGTATGGAAGGCAGGCACAGGAGGGGAAGGCCCTCTGGGAGATGGACTGATTCGGTGACTGGGGCAATAGGGATGAGTGTGTCGGAGAGAGTGAGATTGGCACAGGACAGAGCAGAGTTTAGAGCTGTTGTACATAGGGTCGCTATGAGTCGCAAGTGACTCGACGGCGCATAACAGCAAGAGTATAACAACTAGTATTGTTTATATTGAATTGCTCTAGTGATTTTACATTTAATGCCAATAGAGTTTCACCTTCTTTTCCATAGTTTTTGCTGTTTTTAACAAGTTGCTCTTCTTTCTTTCTTTCCTGTTCTGAAAGCTAATTTGAAAGTGAATTGCTCATATTAATTATGTGGGTGATATGTTCTTTAAATCAAGCGAACTTCTTTCTTTTACCAGAATAGGTAAATGTTCTCTGAGCTACAGGATTCTTGGCTCACTACCCCCACCCCTTTCCTTTTTCACAGTATGTCTCCATATTACAGTGAGCTGTTCAACTCTGGTTTAGACTTTCACCACATGACTGGGTAAGATAATACAAACGTGAAGTGTGGCTCACCAAGAGGACGGGGCACCTTGCTAATAATGTTAATAAGATCAATTATACACTTTGGGTGGGAACATGAAAATTAAATGTATAGAACACTAACAAAGAGATTAGTCCATCTACCAGGCTTAAACTGAGTAAAGGCAGAGGAGAAAAATGGGAATCTTCATTATCATCAAGAAAAAAAAAGTGCATTACATGTTTGTGGCCATTCCAGAGAGAACCCAGGATGAAGTTCCTCTGCTCCCTGTTGATCCTATTCTTTTGCAGCTATCTCCTCCCTAAAGTGGAGAGGATGTAACTCTCTAATTTATATCTGCCAGGACGCCAAAGATACGGGGATGACCAAACAATCAACCGGCATATGCTGATCTCTATCCAGGGAAGCTGTAGCCAGCTCCTACTGGCTTAGGAGCACTAATAACGATCGTGTGTGTGCTAATTCATGTTAAATTGGTTGCTTAAAATTGGTCATGGTGAGAATATTTACCCACAGAAGATGGAAAATTTAGACAAATGAGGCCATTCTCACACAAAAGCCACTTGCTAGACATTTAGCACCCCTCTGCATTCAAGCCAACAGTCCACAATTCTTTAAAGGCTTAGTATTTTCCACATCTAATCTCACACATTCTAAGCCTAACCATGATTACTTTCTCTCCATCAAATAATAATAATAAAATAAGAACACGATATATCACTTTCTCCATGCAGTTCTCTCAAGGATAACCAGTGAAGCATTAAAACTCAATCACAGCTCTCCAGTCCTCACAACTAAAAGACATCAAATTTCAGTTGGTGTGGAAAAGGTGAAAAGGTGGAGGGAGTTCTATCATCCACCATCTACTTGGAACCCATATCAGCTATTTTTGAAACTTAATAAGTCATCTCCATACTATTAACAAAGTAATACAGTATAAACACTGCAGAACTCATATACCTTTCTCTAATTCCACTGGGAAAAGTTCCAGTTTTTCTACACGCTTTTCAAGTTCATACTCAGCTGAAGCGGCTACAGGGTCTACTTCATCATTTCTCCTGTCGTAATCTTCATTTGAGTAGGTGTTGAAAACCTGTAAGGTGAAATAATAACAAAAAGATAAAACCAGAAAATACTCATTTTAAAGAGTATGATAAACTTCTAAGCAATTTTTTCTTTAAAATTAATTGAAAGCCTAGGAGAACAAAACTGAAACAAAATTGTTTGCTAAGAAAGAATATCTAAGTCATTCCATCACTTTTTAATCTTTAAATTGTTTTATTGTTTTTTATTAGCATTTTTTTCATTCCTTTAACAGTCCATGGACTATTTAGTACTCTTCCCCAACAGCCCAACTAAGAAACACTGATCTTCTTCTATCATCCTTACTTAGAAAAGTGGTGGAGAGTCTCTGAAATGGAATAGAATCAATGGTAATGGACCTGTATGTTTAAAAAAAAAATTCTTGAGGGAGCTCTGGTGGCTTAGTGACAAGAAGCTGCACTGCAGTTCCAGAGGGTGAGTGGTTCGAATCCACCAGATGCTCTGCTGGAGAAAGAGGGACAATCTCCTCCAGTACCGGTCAGATCCGATGTGATGGTATACACACCAAAAAATAATGAAATTTTTTT